ACTATGACGTTTTTATGACTTTTTATGCCTTACTATACTATGACGTTTTTATGACTTTTTATGCCTTACTATACTATGACGTTTTTATGACTTTTTATGCCTTACTATACTATGACGTTTTTATGACTTTTTATGCCTTACTATACTATGACGTTTTTATGACTTTTTATGCCTTACTATACTATGACGTTTTTATGACTTTTTATGCCTTACTATACTATGACGTTTTTATGACTTTTTATGCCTTACTATACTATGACGTTTTTATGACTTTTTATGCCTTACTATACTATGACGTTTTTATGACTTTTTATGCCTTACTATACTATGACGTTTTTATGACTTTTTATGCCTTACTATACTATGACGTTTTTATGACTTTTTATGCCTTACTATACTATGACGTTTTTATGACTTTTTATGCCTTACTATACTATGACGTTTTTATGACTTTTTATGCCTTACTATACTATGACGTTTTTATGACTTTTTATGCCTTACTATACTATGACGTTTTTATGACTTTTTATGCCTTACTATACTATGACGTTTTTATGACTTTTTATGCCTTACTATACTATGACGTTTTTATGACTTTTTATGCCTTACTATACTATGTAGTTTTTATGCCTTACTTTACTATGTTGTTTTTATGACTTTTTTGTGCCTGACTATACAATGGCTTTTTATGCCTTACTATACTATGTAGTTTTTATGCCTTACTTTACTATGACTTTTTTGTGACTTTTTATGCCTTACTATACTATGTCTTTTTCATGAGATTTTATGCCTAACTATACTATGAGATTTTATGCCTTACTTTACTGTTTTTTTGTGACTTTTCATGCCTTACTGTACTATGACTTTTTTATGACTTTTTATGACTTGCTACCCTAAAAGTGTACCTGGCTTACTATGTTGTGGCTTTTTTATGATTTTTTATGCCTTACTATTCTGACTTTTTTCACCTTACTCTACTATGACTTTTTTATGACTTTTTATGCCTTACTATTCTGACTTTTTTCACCTTACTGTACTATGAGTTTTTTATGACATTTCATGCCTTACTATACTATGGCTTTTTTATGACTTTTTATGTCTTACTATACTATGACCTTTTCATGACTTTCTATGCCTTATTATACTATTTCTTTTTATGCCTTACTATACTGACTTTTTGTCACTTTTGTATGCCATACAATACTATGATTTTTTTATGCCTTACTTTACTAGGAAGTATTTAATCTTACTGTACTATGACTTTTTATTTTGTTATTATGCCTAACTATACTATAATGTTTTATTTCTTGTTCTACTATGACTTTTTATGCTTTATTATACTATGACCTTTCTATGCCTTACTATACGATGACTTTTTTTTTCTTTAGAACTTAGTTTTTTGGTGTTTTGTGCACAAAATACAACATCACTCACATCACTTGTAAGTACCTTACTATACAATGACTTTTTTATGCCTTATTATACTATGCCTTTTCTATGCGTTACTATACTATAAGTTTTTATGCCTCACTATACTGTGACTTTTTATTGTTACTATGCCTTACTATACTATAACTTTTTATACCTTGCTATATTATGACTTTTTATGCCATAAGATGTTATGACTTTTTGTCTCTAGTATAGGACTACTTTTTTATTACTTTTTTATGTCTTGTAACTTTTTATGAAATTTTTATGCCTTTCTATACTATGACATTTTTATTACGTTTCATACCTTCCTATACTATGACATTTTTATGCATTACTATATTATGACTTTTTATGCCCTTCTATATTATAACTTCCTTATGTCTTACTATACTATGACTTTTTATGCCCTACTATACGAAGACTTTCTTATGCCTTGCTATCCTAAGACTTTTTTATTACGTTATCATTCCTTACTATACTATGAGTTTTATGCTATACTATACTATTACGTTTTTATACCTTACTATACTATGACTTTTTATTACGTTATTAAGTCTTACTATACTATGACTTTTTATGCCTTAGTATACTATGACTTTTTTCATGATTTACTATACTCTGACTTTTTATACTTTAGTTAACTGTCACTTTTTAGACCTTAGTATTTTATGACTTTTTCATGACTTACTATACTACGACTTTTTATTACGGTATTATGTCTAACTACGCTACAACTTTTTATGCCTTACTTTAATATGTCTTTTTATGACATTACTATCCCTTACTATACTATGACGTATTATGCCTTAATATACTATGCCTTTTTATGCCTTAGTACAGTATGACTTTTTCATGACTTACTATAATATGACTTTTTATACTTTAGTTAACTGTCATTTATTTATGTTTACCATACTATGACTTTTTATACCTTACTATACTATGACTTTTATTACATTAATGTGCCTTACTATACTATGACTTTTTATTAAATTTTTATGCCTTACTATACTATTACTTTTTATCTCTTACTATACTGTGACTTTTTATACCTCAATAAACAATGACTTTTTATTACAGTATTATGCCTAACTATACTATGACTTATTATGCATTATAGTATGACTTTTTATTATGTTTCATGCCTTACTATACTATGACATTTTTATGCATTACTATATTATGACTTTTTATATACCTTACTAAACTATGACTTTTTATACCTTACTATATTATGACTTTTTATACCTTCATAAACTTTCACTTTTTTATGACTCACCATACTATGAGTTTTTATACCTTACTATACTATGACTATATATGCATTACTATATTATGAGTTTTTATGCCTTAGTATAGTATGACTTTTTCATGACTTACTATATTATGTCTTTTTATGACATTACTATGTCTTACTATACTATGACTTTTTATGCCTTAGTATACTATGACTTTTTATTACATTAATATGCCTTATTATACTTTAACTTTTTATGCCTTATTATAGTATGACTATATATACATTACTATATAATGAGTTTTTATGCCTTAGTATAGTATGACTTATTCATGTCTTACCATACTATGACTTTTTATACCATACTATACTATGACTTTATATGCATTACTATATTATGACTTTTTCATGCCTTACTATACTATGACTTTTTATTCCTTACTTTACTATGACCTTTTTCACCTTTCTATACTCTGATTTTTTTTACAGTATTATGCCTAACTACGCTATGACTTGCCTTACTTTAATATGTCTTTTTATTACATTACTATGCCTAACTATACTATGATTTATTATGCCTTTTTATAATATGACTTTTTATTATATTTCATGCTTTACTATACTTTGACATATTTACACCTTACTATAATATGACTTTTTATGCCCTTTGATACTATGAATTTCTTATGTCTTACTATAACTATGACTTTTTCATTACTTACTATAAGTTTTTATTCCTTACTATACTGTTACTTTTTATGCTTCACTATACTATGACGGTACCTCTGGATGGACCGTATCATCACTTTCTGATAGTGGCTCACTGTGGCCTCCAGTCTGATGATGTAGCTGCTCAGCGGATGTGTTATACCCTCTGGTAACATGTGATTGTATGTCATGTGAGCACCCCTCACTTGCTGTCTTCAATAAATTATTTCTGCACCTTTAAATAACTGGAGGAAACTTTAATGTTGAATTGACTCTCCACATGTGCAACAAGAAGAAGACATGGATCTGCCTCTCCTGTGTTGTGACATTACACACACACTGATGTAGATAAAGCTTTTTATTAAGTTACAGGCTGGTGACAGGTTAACGTTCGGCTCAGCCGTTCCTTTATATAAATATATACTGCTCTGTGATTTTACATCATCATACTGGTTGTTTACAACATTACACACACTGTGACTTTACATACAAATATTTTCTTCATGTAAAATATGGAACTGAGTTGACACAGACTGTTTCTCCTGGTACTTTAAAAGATGATTTTACATGCTGATGTGAAGTCAGATATTTTTCTCTCCTCAGCTTCAGATAGATGCAACAGCTGATCCGGGGGCAGAATTTTAATCTCATGATCAGTCAAGACATCAGGTTAAAGAGACGACATCTATCATCAGTCAGCAGACACAGAGGATCAATCAGATCAATCAGATCAATCAATATTGATGAGGTTGAAGCAGCAGGCAGAAACTTTACCAAGTCTGTTCTAGTCCATCAGCTGACTGAGGTGTTGGAGCTGGAGTCAGGACATGATTAGCTTATCTTAGCATAGAGACTGGAAGCAGAGGGAAACAGCTAGCTTAGCTCTGTCCAACCTTCAAACATGCCCCTCCCAGCAGCTCTGCAGCTGACTGAGATGTCGAGTCCAGAGTTTGTAGTTTTAGAGAAAGTTACTGGAACTATTTCAGTTCAACAGTCGGTGCAGCAACTGAAAACCAGAAAAATGTGCACACTGGCCACAGAGAGACGCTGTACAGACGTCCTAGGCGGATAAAACCACCAACTGTGAGTTTTACATTTACAACCTGTAGGTCACTGTGTTGAGAGGCAGCCAACTGTCGCACATGCGCCCTCTTGTGGCAGAGGTGGGCAGCTGCGTAAGTAAGGACAGAGTGGACACTCTGACATCCAGGTCAACTGTTCTGGTGACATCACTATCTACCATCCCCTACACAGTCAGTCATCGATCCAACACACTGAGCTCTAGAGGTGTTTGAGCTTTTGGACAGAGCTAGGCTAGCTGTTTCCCTCTGTTTCCAGTCTTTATGCTAAGCTAGGCTAACCATGTGCTGACTCCAGATCTGTACCAAACGTGCTCTGAGGGAGGAGACTTGTATCTGTGGTTCCTGAACCCCTCGTCCAGTTGGACATGTTGGACATCCGCCTGTCAACACGTTGGTGGAGCATCAGTCAGTTTTATCAGATCTGATCTGGTTTCAGGTTCTCGATGTTTTACTTTGTAAACTGCGTCTGGAGTTCAGCAAATTCAATTCTTTTTTTTTTTTCAACTCTAATTCTGAGCCTCAGTGACCCCCCCCCCCCCCCCCACAGTCTCTGATCAGGGTCTTTCCTCCGGTGGTCAGCTGATTGGTCCACAGCGCCCTCAGGTGGTTCGGTGGAGCAGCAGCCCAGTGAACACATTGTCCTCTGACTCTGCCCACGCTCCTGCCCTCAGTTCCAGCCTCACCTGCTCCCGCTCCCTCAGCAGCAGGAGGCCCACACCTGTAGCTGGTCCAGCCTCCGTCACCTTCTGTCGGAGCAGAGACACCGGAGCTTCACCCAACCCCCTCCTAAGAACCACATGGGCTGGACCTGGCCTCAGGTCCAAGGTGAGGACGAACAGGTAGATCCCGTCCAGCGGAGCCGTGAAGGAGCCGCCGGAGTAAAACTGACCCCGATTCAGAGATGGCTGGAAGACGAGAACGCCGCCTGAGGCGCTCAGAGGAGGTCCCACAACGAACAACAGGGAAGCCTCTGATTGGCTGGGAGGGACAGGAAGAACACCTGAGGAGAGACCCATACAGAAATATAATATATGACATATATGTCCCTATATGAAGAGTGATGTTTCCACATATGTCACTTATATTATTGTCACATTTAAACATCCTGAAGATCTACGTTTACAACATAAATAGAAGTTTGAGTTTGGGTTTAGAGCTCACCTGACGACTCCCTCCTGTTTCTATGGTTTCCTCCTCCTCCTGCCCCCTCCCTCCCTCCTCCTCTCTTCTTCTCCCTCCTCCCTCCCTCTCTCTTCACCAGCTGCCACAGTCTCTCCAGATCCAGCGTGGCGTCGGACGCCGTCAGCACGTCGGCGTTGCTGAAGACGTTCTTGAACACCCTCAGGTGTTCCTCCAGCCCCCTCTTCAGCCACGTCACCTCCGCCTGCAGTTTGGCGTCCACGGCCCCGGGCAGCCCCTCCCTCTCAGAGGAGGCATTGGGGCAGGGGCAGGGCTTCTCCTCCAAACGGACCACTTTCTGCTCCAGCTCCTCCACCGTCCTCTCCAGGTTCCACAGATCACTGCCGTCTCCTCTGAGCTCCGGACGCCCCCCCGCAGGGTGAAGGAGGAGCTGCCGCTCCCGGGCTGCTTCTCCTCCTTGGCTCCGCCTCACGCCACCTGGAAACCAGTCATGAGGGGGTAGGTGGGGGGAGGAGGGCTGGTCAGCAGACGGCACCTCCTCTCTGTCTTCTGGGAACAGAAGGAGAAGAAGAGGAGACGGTGAGGAGCAGTGAAAACAAAGAAAACCCAAATAAAAACAAAGTAAAACCAGATGAAAGAAAGAAAGAAAATAATAACTCTGTTCCTCAGAGTCTCAGATCTGAAGACAGAGAGACGACAGGAACCAGGAACCTGGACAGGAAGTGAGAGATAAAACATTTCAGCTGCTGTTAGACTGAAGCCCCCCCCCCCCCCCCCCCCCCCCCCCCGGCTCGTACCTGGCTTGTTGCCGAGCAGCGATGTGATGCTCAGGTTGTGTCCTCTCACTTGCTCCTGCAGGAGCCTCAGCTGCCCCTTCAGGGCCGGGATGGAGTTGGCCTCCTGGTCCTCGACGGACCACTCCAGGTACTCCATCACCTCCTCCCCCAGCAGCAGCTCCAGCACGTCGTTGTGGCGGATGGCGTCCTTCAGCAGAGACTTGAAGGACGCCAACAGGTGCTGCATCTCCTCCCTGAGCTTCCTGTTCGCGTCCTTCAGACCCAAGTGCTCATCCAGACTCACCATCACCGAGCTGTTCAGCTGGGTCATGCTGTGGTCCAGAGTCCTGGTCCTGGTCTGCTCCGAGACCAGAGACTTCTTCACCTGCAGGACAGAACCACGAGGAACACTGTGATGTCACAGTGAGGCTGACCTTTGACCTTTGGATACAAAATCACATCATCCTGTGTGTGTATGTGTGTGTTACCTGCTGGAGGTCACGTTGAAGCACCTCCACCGCTGGCTCCCAGTCGCTGGCGTCGCCCCACTGCTCCAGCCCCCCCTCGTTGTTTTCCTCCAGGGCTAACCTGTTCTCATTGGCCAGAGCTGTCATGTTGGCGACTTCCCTCTCCAGTCGTTCCACGGTGTCCTTCAGCCCTTTGCATTTGCAGTCCCACAGGTAGTCCATGTCCACCTCCACCTCCTGCAGCTGCTTGTTTTGCTGTGTAACATTTCCCGCCAGCTCCTCCACCCGCCTCAGCACCACCACCTTGGCGTCTTCGACCTCCAGCCCCGTCTCCATGAACAGGATCTGAGTATTCCTGGCCGTCTGGTTCAGCTGCCTCTCCAGCTCCTTACAGTCCCGCCTCAGCTGCTGGATGCTCCCCGAGTTCACCTCCACGTCCTCAATCAGCCCGTTCACCTGCGCAGAGAGGTGGCGTTTTCAACATGTGGACACAGAAAACTTTGAGGTGGGTCTCATTCTTCTGTCATGGCCGCCGCAGACACACCGTTCAATGACCATGAAAAAGCTTCGCAACTCTGGGAGGAGTTCATTAGAGTTCTCTCAAATTCAAAATGACAGGCTTCTGGTTGGGTTCAGGATATGGGCCCTAGAAGCTTTTCTGTAGATCTTCAGAGTGAGTCCAACAGTGAGTCAGTCCCCATAGACTCCCATGTTAAAATGTCCAACTTTACAGCAGAAATCAACATGTTTACAGCCTGGTACAGAAACTGTTTTGGTCTCTAGAGATAATAAAGTACATCATGGGTGACAGAGGCTGCACACAGGCTGATGGGTAATGACTGTGTGTTGCTTGGACTCACCTTCACCGTGTTGTTGACCACCATGTTGTCCAGGCGTTCGATGGCCTCCCACAGGGCTGAAGAGTCTGAGGGCTGCAGGGGCCAGGGGGGGGGCGGGGTAAGAAGAGGGAGGTGATCATCGAGTTGTCTCTCAGTGGTCCAGTCCTGGTCCTGGTCCTGGTCCTGGTCCAGCTTCAGCTCTGACAGAGTGGTGTTGACAGCCTGCAGGCTGACCTGAGATCAGGGGTGAACAGAGTTTCATCATCCTGAAACTGTTGCTCACAGCCTCAGTGACAACAACAACAACAATCACAACAACAACAATCACAACAACAACCACAACAACAACCACAACAAAAACCACAACAACAATCACAACAAAAACAACAACAAAAACCATAACAACAATCACAACAAAAACCACAACAACAACAACAACAAAAACCACAACAACAACAACAACCACCACAACAACAGCAACAACAACCACAACAACAACCACAACAACAACCACAACAACACACCCAACAACAACAACAACAACCACAAACAACACAACACAACAACAACAACAACAAAAACAAAACAACCACACAAAAACACAACAACAAAAAACAACAACACAACAACAGCAACAACCACCAAAAACAACAACAAAAACAACAACCACAAAACAACCAGCAACAGCCACAACCACAACAACCAACAAACACCACAACAACAGCAAACAACCACAAACAACAACAACAACAACCACAACAACAACAACCACAACAAAAACAACAATTCACAACAAAACCACAAACAACAGCAACACCCAAAACCAACAACCACAAACAACAACAATAACAACAGCAACAACCACAACACAAAAAACAACAACCACAACAACAAAACCACAACAACAGCCAACAACCACAACAAACAAAGACAACAACCCACGAACAAACAACAACAACACACAACAACAAAACAACAACCACAACAACAACACAACAAGCAACAACCACAACACAACAACAACAAAAAAACAACAACCACAAACAACAACAACAAACAACCAACAACAACAACCCACAACACACAACAACAACAACAACAAACCACAACAACACAAACACCAAAACAACAACCACAACAAACAACAACAATCACAAACAACAACACCACAACAACAAACAACAACAAAAACCACAACAACAACCCACAACAACAGACAACAAACAACCACAACAGCAACAAACCACAACAACGCAAACAACAACCACAACAAACAAAAAACAACAACCACAAAAACAACAACAAAAACAACAAACCACGACAACCACAACAACAACCACAACAACAACAAAAAACAACAACACACAAACAACAAACAACAACAAAACAACAACACCACAACAACAACAACAAACAGCAACAACCACAACACAGCAACAGCCACAACAACAACCACAACAACCACAACAACAGCAACAACAACAGCAACAACCACAACAACAACAACCATAACAACAACAAAAACAACAACCACAACAACAACAACCACAACAAAAACAACAATCACAACAACCACAACAACAGCAACAGCAACAGCCAAAACAACAACCACAACAAAAATAACAACAACCACAACAACAGCAACAACCACAACAGCAACAACCACGAAAACAACAACAACCACAACAAAAACAACAACCACAACAACAACAACAACAACCACAACCACAACAACAACAAAAACAACAACCACAACAACAACAACAACAACCACAACAACAACAACAACCACAACAACAACAACAATCACAACAACCACAACAACAGCAACAGCCACAACAACAACCACAACAAAAACAACAATAATAATAATAAATAAATAAAGAAATAAATAATAATGGTAATAATAATAATATTGTTATCATTGTTTATTGTTATTGTTTGTCTGCTCAGACGTGCATCGTCACTGACCTGCAGCATCTTCTGGTGGCGTTTCAGCTTCATGTCGACGTCCATCTTGAAGCTGGTCAGGTTGTAGTGCAGCATTGCATTCTGGGAGTGCAGCCTGTTCTCCGTGTCTGCGTGCTGACTCTCCACCTGCCTCTGCACCTCCCTGATGTTCTGAAACACCTCATCCAGTCTCGCCTCCAGACGTTCCTCCGCCGCCTCGTCAAGCTCCGGTCCCTCCGGGGGCCCCGCCTGCAGCTCAGGCCCCCGCTGGCTGCCTTTCAGCTGGGCCACATCGCGGGCCAGGGCCCCTACCTGCAGAGTCAGGTGCTCCAGGGAGCGGTTGAAGCCCTGCAGGATCGGCTGCAGCTCAGACATGACCAGGGCCATCATGTGGGGGACGGGGAGGGCAGCAGGGGCTTCTGGGTACAGCACGGCGTCTGCAACGAGGACAGAAACAGAGACACACAGGTTTTTATTAAGCTCACTGAGTTATCAGGGTTCTTCCTCTGGGGAACATGAATGAGTTTATGTTCTATAATAAAAATATGATCTGTTCTCACACCCACACCCCCCTGATGACTCATGTCCCCTGGGGGCCGGTAGTTGGTTGTTTTGGTCTAAAATGGAACCAGTTTAGTTTCCAGACCGGATCACAAACACACCACAGCCTGGAAACAGAAACATCTGAAATAGCTGCCATTTCTGTCCTCTGTGTCTGTGTGTGTGTGTGTGTGTGTGTGTGTGTGTGTGTGTGTGTGTGTGTGTGTGTGTGTGTGTGTGTGTGTGTGTGTGTGTGTGTGTGTGTGTGTCTGTGTGTGTGTGTGTGTGTGTGTGTGTGTGTGTGTGTCTGTGTGTGTGTGTGTGTGTGTATGTGTGTGTGTGTGTGTGTGTGTCTGTGTGTGTCTGTGTGTGTCTGTGTGTCTGTGTGTCTGTGTGTGTGTGTATGTGTGTGTGGGGGGGGTGGGGGGTCTGCCGGGGGCTTCAGAGTCAGATACAAGCTGTGTTTCCAGGAGGAGAGACGCTCAGAGCTCAGATGAAGTTTCACAGTTTGTTTCTGTTGGTTGAGCAGAGACCGATCCAGAACAACAGGGACCACAGGACTCTGTCCTCCAGCTGGACTCCACAGACCAGGATCCGTCTGTTTATATTATTTCTGGGGTTTGAAACGAACTCAGTGTGAAGACATTTCCTCTGAGTCAGAGAGAAAACCTGCAGATTTTGAAGAGAGGCTTCTTCATCCGGGGGGAAACATCAGTGACGTTTGTGGAAAATAAGTTTTAATAGAACATGAGGAGATTGTCCTCCACCAGGTCCAGTCCTGGTTTTACACACCCTTCAGCTGGCAGCGGTTCAGTCTAATGACTGTCAGTGTGATTTACAGCGTCGCACCGAGTCCACTTCCTGTTCGCACAGAACGTCTGCTACACAAACACGTTCTGATTGGTTCCTCTGACGCTCCGTCTTAAATGCCACATTTAAAAAGTGAGACAACGCTAAATAGTCAGGAGGGAACCAGGGACAGAACCAGAACCAGGGACAGAACCAGGGACAGAAGGACTCAGAACCAGATTAGGGTCTCTGGGTTAGAGGCTGGACCTGGACTGAACCTCTTTGTTGTAAACAAACACTGACCCGTCCATCATCTGTGACCTCAGTCCTCTCTGTGGTCTCAGTGGACAGATGTTTTCAGCTGTTGGAGTCTCAGAGACATGATGGATCACTGAGGGGCCGGAGAGGTCAGGGGCCCCGGGGCCTCAGCCTCTGACCATCAGCTTCAGATAATGGGACAAACCTTTATATATATATGATATATAATATATGATAAATACAACATACACACAGCAGCATGTTCCTTTAAGGATGATGTCATGCTGACTGGTCAGTGAGGTCAAGGGTCAGACAGAACAGAGCACTGTGGGAAACAGGGAGGAGGAAGTGTGTGATGTAATGCACATGTTAGTAAAATATAATGTCAGCAGACACACACACACACACACACACACACACAAAATGTATGGGAGACAGAAGAAAGACAGGATTTCCTGCGGAGGAAGTGTGTGTGTGTGTGTGTGTGTGTGTGTGTGTGTGTGTGCGTGTGAGTATGTATGTGGATGGTTCATTGCAGAGGAATGGAGTTCAGTGTGTTTCTCTGTCAGCTCACTCACCACACACACACCACACACACAACACACACACACACACACACACACACACACACACACACACACACACACACACACACACAGTCTCAGTTCTGCTTCGGACGGTTTTAGAATCTCATCTGATGAAAACTCACCTGTAAGGAGGTCTTCCTCTCTCTTGGTGCGCGTTGCGTGTTGTGCTGGTGGGGAGTGGGGGTGTTTGGGTTTGGTGCTGTGGGGGTTGTGGGGTTTGCTGGGGTTGTGGGCGTGCGCCTGGTTCATGGGTTGGGTGTGTTGGAGTTGTGCTGGTTGTCATGGTATCTGGTGTGGTGCAGCTTGCTGCCGGAGGCCTGAGAGTCACTCTGTCGTGGTTCTGGTCGTGGTTCTGGTCATTGTTCTGGCGTCGGTTCTGGTCGTGGTTCTGGTCATGTGTTCTTGGTGTGGTTCTGGTCGTGGTTCTGGTCGTTGGTTCTGGTCGCCTTGATGCTGCTGCCGCAGGAGCCACACCCACTCATCTGAAACACACACAGGTCGCCATGACATTACAGATTTAAAGAGACAGAGCTGAAGGCAGCCGACAGCCTCACAAGCTGCATCCTGACCACCGACTGTAAACAAAGATGGCCGTCGCCTCTGTGATGTCACCCACAGGTTTCTGAAGCTCAGAGTGAGCTGCCTCTACCTGTTGCCATCTTGGCAGTGTCTGACTCTGCCCCTAACTCCCAGCTAAACCAAATAATGGTCAAAGAGAGGGACGTGTGTGGAGCTGGTTTGTGCCAAGCATACGCTCACCACCTGTCACTATCAAAGAGCCACACCTCAATCCTCTATAACTTTAGTCCTTAATAAAATGTAAACAGGTGAGTTGTATAGAGTTAAAGGTCACCTGTGCACCCAGGTCACCTGCGTCACCTGTAGACTCTGGGTTCAGGTTGTATGTTCTTGGTCTCAGACGTGATGGTGACTCCATTCTCTTCCTGTTATTGTTTCCAGGGTAGTGGTTTAATGGTGTGACCTTCATGGACAGGAAGTCCGTTCAATCGGAGGCTTGGTGGAGCGGACCGTACCATGTGGAGGTGTGTGTGTGTTTTGTCTTTGTTAAACGGAGCCTCTAAAGGTCAAAGGTCTATTTTAGTTGGACTGTTTTGACTCTGGGAGTTTTCATGGAACAGACCACACCTCCCTCAGTCCTGCAGCTCACCTTCATCTTCATCACTTCATACTCATGAAGAGTTTTATCTGTTTTCCTGCCTCAAAACAACGGCAGCAGACTGAAGACCTGAACACCACAGATAGGCCTTCAGACCTCTCTACTCTCATTCATGGGCTTCAAAGAAACATTAAAGCTCCTCCAGTGTAAAGGTCTGTGTCCATGTGTAGTGTATTATAGATCAGCTCTAGCTTCTATATTAATACTGTGAAAGTATCAAAGCCTCAGTCCACAGAGAAATGCACACAGCCTGTATTCAGAAACTGGAGCCTTTAAAACCAGCCGTCAGGACTTCTGGAAACTTTGTGATGTCACAACAAAGCAGTCACCAAGCCCCGCCCACCTGGACCCACCATCCAAACCTTGCAGGATTTGGTCGTTTGCGTGTTGTATATGTGTGTGCGTGTGTGTGTGCGTGTGTGTGTGTAATCATTACCTGGACCATGGAGCTGTGGACCAGATCCTCCAGTCAGAACCGAGCTCCCAGGATCAGAGACTGTCAGAGACACAACGCCAGAATAAACAGGTTCATATTATATGACTCATCTTTCATCATCACCATCTTCATAATTTTTCTATTATTTCTTTATAAAGCAAGAAGACAACTGTTCCCTTGTTACCTCCAGCCATGGTATCATACCTACTGTTACCATGGCTGGTTACCACAGTGACGGCAATGTGTTTTTGCTGACCACCTGTGTCCCCACAGTTGTATCCTCCGTGTCCCCGGACAGGCAACGCCACTGCAGAGAACTGAGGATCTTCTTTCTTCTGAGTGTAGACTGGCGCCGGGGGACAGCTTATACCTGCACACACACACACACACACACACACACACACACAACACACACACACACACACACACACACACACCACACACACACAACAGAAACGAGACTCATTTATCAGTGATGAGCCACATTGAACAGTCTCTTTAAAAAATCCTTATTCAGTGGTTTGTTTTTCTGCAGGAACATGAGAAGAATAATCATTTCTTCTTCTTCTTCTTCTTCTTCTTCTCCTTCTCTCTTCTTCTTTCCATCATGGAGGCTTCTCTTCATCTCCACAGTTTGTGAGGAAAAGTGAAGAATTTCAACTTTTATCTTTCACTTCAGTCCGAGATCTGAGTTGTACCAGTTTGATAACAGACCCTGATCTCAGGTCAGGTCTGATCTGGTCTCAGATCAGACCCTGATCTCAGATCAGACCCTGTCTCAAGGTCAGGTCCTGATCTGGTCTCAGAAATCAGACCCTGATCTCAGATCAGACCCTGGTCTGCGGGATCCATGTGGAGTACGTTCAGAGAACAGTGTCAAATCTAATTTACAGTTAACAAGCTTTTCAAATGAGAGCAGCATGATGTTGTGACTGTAGATCAGGTTTCAGGACCAGGTCCAGGTTCTGAGTCTGGTGGTTTTATGTTTTTATAAATTGTTTGCTGTCAGTTGTGCAACACACGTTTCACAACACTGACAGTTATAGTTTAAATATACTGTATATATATATACAACTACATATCATATACAGTATATAAAGTATCTATACATTTATATATGACCTGACATCAGGCTGTTCTCTGGACCGTTTCCAGTATTTTTAAATGTAAAAAAGTCGAACCAAAATAATAAATCAATGAGCTTTAAAATGACGCGGAGTTGTTTCCAGTGTTTCACAAGAGAAAAATTAAAAAACTAAATTTAATGTGTAAATAGATTTTCCTCTCTGAACGCTTTCCTGACTCCAGCACAGACTCTGATGATCATCATAAATTAAATGAGCAGTTTATGACACGAGGCGATCTGTGTTTAAGGTAAATTCATAGAGTCCAGGAGAAAATGGATCCAGAGTTTAACTTCAGACTTCATTCCTTAAATAGTTCTGTCAGAACACCATACACACACACACCACACACTCACACTCTCACACACACAACACACACACACAACACACACACACTCACACACACACACACACACACACACACACACACACACCACAACACACACACACACACACACACACACACACACACACACACACCACACTCACACACACACACACACTCACACTCACACACACACACACA